CTGTGTGGTCTAAGGAGTCATTATTGTTGGCCTTCTTATTTTGATGATGTTTAACAAACAATTTATGACTAATGTTGTTTGTCTAATATTTGTGGTTTTCTATTTATTATAGATAAACAACATGTTGGAGGATGGATGGAATCAAGCTTTCACGATCATATCTAATGGAGGTTAGCGGAATAGTAGAATGAAGCCTTGCAATTCAAGTTGAAGATCCAAGTTCAAGCTTCATCCATAAGTGTACCAAGATAGAGCTTCATCGAAGATCACAAGATTGGGTATAATTAGTTTAGGAGTTTATATTATGTGTGTTAAGTACTGTAAGCTCAATATCATATACACATTGGTTTGGTTTAATTTCATAGATATGAAACAAATATATATTCATATATATACTCATATGTTTCATATTCTATTGTATTTGTGAAAATATTGTATTCATTGTTTATAGACTTCATACCAATAGTTTATATCTTCCTTTAAGTCTATAAAATCAGTTTATAGAGTTTCAAATCTTGGTTTATGTCAAAACATCAAAATTCAAGTATCTCATGTTTTTTATGTTTTGGACATATTTGCAAAATGATGATATTTTTTATTTGGGAGGTCCTTTTTGAAAACTAGTTTTTGTAACATGTGTATTATCATGTCTACAATCATTTTTAAAAGTTTTACATTTTTTGGAATTTATTTGATATTTTTAAACATTGTTTTAAGTTGACATGTACTTTTAAAACAGGTTGTGTGCATGTCTTGAGTCGACTCATGAACAGTGTTGAGTCGACTCATAAACTGTTATGTAGTTTACATTTTGTTTCTGACGATTCGACTCATAATATCATGAGTCAACCTAGACAGGTTGAGTCGACTCATGCCTTTCATAAGTCGACTCACAAACTGTGCTGGAAAATGAGTTTTGTTTCTGATGAGTCGACTCATGATCTTATGAGTCGACCCATGGTTTATGAGTCGACTCATGATTTTTATGAGTCGACCCATAAGTTGGTTTTTAGCCATGAGTCGACCCATGGTTTATGAGTCGACTCATGATTTTTATGAGTCGACCCATAAGTTGGTTTTTAGCCAGTAACGGCTACTTATGAGTTGACTCATGAACAGTACTGAGTTGACTCATAACACTGTAACGGCTATATTTTCAGACTGTACTGTTTTTGGATTTTTGGTCTTTTTGTCTTGTTTTCTCTTGGCTTTGTGGTTCCTATAAATACCCCCACATATCCTTAGTTCTAAATATCTAAGAAAAGTTTAAAACAAGTTTTTAAAGGGTGTTTAAGTGTGTTTAAGTTTGGTTTAAAGTTTGTTTGGTTTGTAAAGATGCTTTCACAAGTGGATGAGATCATCTATATTGTTTGAGCTTTATTTTAATCCATCCCTCCATCTTGTTTTTTAAAGAAGAATTTTTAAACTCAATACTAGCTTTGTATTAATTATTTATTGTTTATCATTTTCATCAAGCTAGGGTTTTACATTGAGTTTATAATTGATTTTCTCATTGCTTACACACACAACCATTGAACTTATTGTATTTGCATACATTGTATAATTAGGTTGTAGGGTGTTGTATTAATTGAGAGTGAGCTTAATTGAGTTCTCGTCCATTGTAGAGAACAACCAAAGTTATATTCGTGCCTAATTGTGTAGATCACCTTGTAATACACTTGTACATCGAGAGAAGTGTGTGGTGAGAGGCGGGGTTGTCCCAAGAGGAGTGGGGTAGGTAACAATACCTAGAGAGAGGTTATAATTCCTAACATTTGAGGGAGACGCGGACTAAAAACCAACACTTGAGAGGGTGTAAAGTGGGATTGCAAGAGGGTGAGATTGTAAAGTTTTCGATGAACTAGAAAACCGAGTATGAGGTGTAAACATTATTCAGATGAGCGTAGAAAACCCAGTTGTGATAGTGGAGATCTCCTCGATGTGAGGAGCGGAGACGTAGGTCGTGGGGATCAACTCCGTGATCATATCATTTGTTTGTGATTGCTTGGCGCACTTATCTTTATGTTTATATCTTATATCACCTTTGTATATTGCTTGTTGTTTATATTCCCCACTATCTAGTTTAGATTGTTTACCCTTGTGTTATTTATATATCCTCGCATATATCTCATAGTATATCTCATTGCTAGGATATTTTCCTTTGTTCAAATTGCATATTTTTGCTCATATCATATTGTATATTATACTTGCAAGAATATATTTCTTAATTAGTTTTAATTGGCATAAAATCGGATTAGATTAGCACAAGACCCTAATCACCCCCCTTTAGGGTCTAACAATTATGACTTTGGCAGAAAAGTAATGATGGCTCTGGCCATGCATTTAATATGACAGTGACTAGTTGACGTCACCTACGGAGATGAAGCAGATTAGTTCCTCATTGTTCAAGATGCATCGCCGGGCCTGAGTGAAGATGCTTTTCGTCTCAATCATTTGAGAGGGCTCGAGTGAGGGCACTTTTCATTTTGGTCTTTTGAGAGGAAGCCCGGGTGAGAACACCTTTCGTCTCGATTCTCAAAGTGCTTTAAGGAAGGGGAATCGACACTCGTGAGACCTGTGTCAGGTATGTGTGTCAAGTTTGAGTCGGCTAATCGACACACGCGTTATCCTCTTAAGAGTAGTTAACACTTAGCAATTTCTGTGATGCAATAATAAGAATCAATTTTAAAAACTTTAGAGTATTTATGTGCACATTTTAAAAATTTTAGGGTATATAACTGTTGCGTAATGTTAAATGTAATAGTTAGACTATCTTGCTTTGTTTTACTTTAGCCCCACATTGTTTAGGATTATAGAACTTCTCTTCTTGCTCTTGTATTTAAATGCTTCAATGCAATAAATAATTATATCAAGTTCTCTTAAATCTCTTTATATTTATCATAGTATTAGAGTCGTCTTCTATATCCTAGAAAGACCTCTTAACTTCTTCCTCGATCTCGGGACCACTAAGGGGTTTCTCCATGCTTGCCCCCGATGACTTTGACCTCAGCAATATCTCCAGCAAGTACTTGATCGTCGGCAGCCCAAACCCAACCCATCCAAGCCGTAACTTGACCATTGCAGCAAACCCTGCTCACATTCACCCAACTTCGACAAACCTGCTCTGTGCCACTGCACTACGAGTGTTGCCATCAGCTACCAATGTTGCCAGCATCATATGGACCTTATCCACAGTCACCACCAACTGCATGCTTGCAACCCTGCCACATTCATGATAAGAACGCCTACCCTCCAACAATAGGCCATCAATAACTTTACCTGCACACCACATGTTGACTTTATGCCTTATAGAAACCGCTTGCCTTCTCAATTCGTTGCCACCACTTCCACCTTAACTCATGCAAGCACTGCCATCAAGCAAATCACCCACATCGCATCATCCACCATTAATACTGGTCAATCCCTACCATTGCAGCATGCTCATTCCCTCTACCCGCTAACTTTCATTGTTGCAATCGCGCAACAATGACCAACACTAAACTGTGACACCACCATTTTGCTGCAACCTCCAATGACCCTGATGCCTCCTAGCTCAACGCCTTCCTCCCTCATGATGATGCCTATCGATCTTCTTCAACCCATCTGCATGTCCTCTACCTTAATCACGACCACCATCACAACCATCCCCTTTGACATCTACATTCCTCAACCATTTTTCATGCTCTTTGATGCCCACTAACTGTTCAAAGAAATCCACCTTGACAAATCACACATGGAAACTTGATCAGCTCTGCTAACGATCACTAAAGCTGCCATAACTCCTATCACTAGCTCCCTCGTTAACTTCACCGCCAATGACGACGAGCACAATTGTCCTCACCTTTAATGACAATGCAACTACACCATTTGTTCGACAAAATGCGTTAGCAAGATTTCTTGGCCTCTGGTCGGTACTTTTAGCCAAGCTCTCTCCACTCACTTATGACCCAAATCTGATAACCGCACCTCCTCTTGTGATTTGCAGGTCCACTATTTCAAGATCATCATGCATGACCGCGGATCATCATTATAACATCATACCTTACTGTTTACAAGATCCGATCATCGTGCCTCCTCTCGTGACCCCAAATCTACCTTCTCGCGACCACCATGTGTGACCTCAGATCATCGCTGCAAAACCATACCTTACCACCTACAATTTCAGCAACCGATGTGCTTAAATTCAACCACATCTAGCCGAGCTGCGCCAACAACCATCTACACAAAATTGGATCATTTTATATAAACTCTGGATTCTAAATCCACTGTGAGTTTGACGAGGAGTGTCAAATGTAATAGTTAGGCTATCTTGTTTTACATTACTCTAGCCCCACATCACTCAGGATTCTAGAACCTCTCTTTTTGCTCTTGTATTTAAACACTTCAATGCAATAAGTAATATGATTAAGTTCTCTAAAATCTCTCTATACTTATTACCCAAAACAAGTGATGATATTCAAGTGAAAGTTTTAGAAACTTTAGTATATATAAGTGCTGCCAAAATAAGTTAGGGCATATAAGTGCAACATAAGAGACTATATGGTATTTAAGTGCAACTGAGCCTTTTATTTATCTGTGTGTTTCAAAGAAGCAATTCGTTTATCTATGGACCAAATAATCTATTGTAGAAAAGTATGTAAATGACTTATTTTTTTCAATCAATATTAAACACAATAGGTATTATACCAAGAATCTTCTATGGCCATTTCTTAAGATCCATGCTTGTACCAAAAAATCAAGTTACCATATAATAAGCAATTATATACTTCTGAATAGCAGTTACCATACATCAAATCAAAATTTAGAGAGATTTCCTCTACCAATAAAAATTAGGGAAAATTACTTGGAGGAACTTTCAAAATTAATGTTATGCATGCTCCTCCCCAGCCAAAAAATCCATGCTCCCCAACCTTTATACTGAAACTTTAGTGCAACTATCCTCCCAATACTGTAGAAACCCACTATCGAATAAAGGTATTCCAAAATTACCCTTCCCATTTAAAAGAAAAAAAAATCACATTTTCTTCCCCCTTCTATGCATGTTTTTCGAAATCCTCTACAACTACTTTTTCTTATCACGCTCTTCTTCTCAAGATCTCACTCCTCCGTCGCAACCGACGAGGATCCCGACCGTTGACACCGCAAGCTGTCAGTTGCCCACCCCTACAGCTCTGATCCATGATCCATCTTCATCGACGCTCCTTGATTGTCTTTGCTCCGTTGTCACCCCCTATGGCTAGAATAAGAAAACTCACCATCGTCTTTGCTCCGACAAGGACCTCGCCGACTGCAAGCTCAATGTCTACAACCTCGGCTAGGAGATCGGTAGTGACCCCAAGTCCCTCTTCATCATCTGATTTCTATTTTTATTTCTAATTTATTTCTCTCTCATCGCAGACTGCCCAAAATCACCCTCAATGTTCGTTCTTTGTCCTACAAATGAGTGTCTTTTAATTCTTCAAACTGCATCGGGTTCGTTATGCTTATTACTTTCACTTGTGTGTTTTGTTTGCCCACCAAGTATTTGTTGATATGCCTAGCTCTCAATTACCAAATAGAATTTATAATTCTTGTAAAATTGATGGTAACTATTTTCTTAACTTTTACTCATTTAGATTAGTGTTTCACGTGTCATGGTTATATTGTCAAGATCAAATTGAAAATATCCAGACTCCATTTTCTCCTTAGTCCAAATCCGGTGAAGCGTTATTGCATCCTAGTCAAATATATGACAAGATTGAATCTGTGATAAAATCATTCGGCTTCATAACTAGTCGGTTATCTTTTCGAAGATGTTGGGAACTGAAAATGGTTTTCTAAACAAATTGTTGGAATAGTAGGAAAGATTAACTTTCTTATGATAGGCCTTGGGGATTAGTTACCTTGCTTGGCAACATAAGCAAAATGAAAAGGATATTTATACAACAAGAGTATAAAATGTTGGCATTGCATTGGTAAAAAACTTAGTACATAAGAAGTCGTTCTTCCCATACCTTCATACATGCAACCTTGAGAATTCGTGTAATGCTAGTTAGGAATCAACCAAGGGGACAACAACTATGGTGCATTAGTCCTAATTTCTTTTACATGTGAAATTTATGTTAATAAAACTAACTTTAGGTACAAATGAATAAACAATAAATTAATGAAATAAATAAGCGCAGGAAATATGGTAGGTGTACTCATGTGTATATTTCCAAATTCATGTATCTTGGCTTGAACTTCTTCTTCTTTTGTTTAAGGATGTTTCCTAAATTCTGGGGAATTGGTTTTGTGTGTGAAGTCTAATGAATTAAGCCCAAAGTTTATAAGTCAGAGAAACGAAGAATCCTTAGAATTAGACAATTAATGTCTTTAGTCACTCATGCACCATACAGGCACTCTATTTTTTATAACAAATAATGGTGTTATAAGACATTTATACATTCTGTGACGTATACACTTTGTCGGTGACATATGCGTATCTCATGTGATATTTATATATTTTGTGTGACATATACTCCTTACAGTGATATATGCTGGTGTTTATGTGATATTTATACATTTGTGTGACTTATACTCATTATTTATGACATTCATCATTTTCTGTGATGTGTAGATGTTATCTATGATGTTATTGTATCACCTATGAATTTTACACATTCAATGTGATACATAATCTTGTTTGTTGCTGTATATGATTGTTACTTCATCTTTTTTCCTATTTAGGTACAATTATGGCATACATACATATTTATACATCAAATCGATCCTAGAAGGAAAGGAGACCATGGACATTGAAGCTTTATAAAGGGAGTCTGAAATGTTAAGAGGCAGGACTTGCTGCTCAAATTATATGTGATGGCCGAGAATTAAGAAGCTGGGATTGAAGTTAGATGTAAATAATCCTTAATATCTTTTATATTTTGGATACAATGATGCACTATTGATTGAGTAAAATTATTAGACAAACACGTACAATATAATTCTATGTTGGATATGACTAGTTTCTTTGTAATTTTGCGACTTATGGTGACAATGATGAAATGTGCATTTGCGATTACTCCATAAATTTTTCTTTAGCATATTACATAGAAATATCACAAAAATACCAATAAGTCACGCAAACACATTTAACACATAAATGTCACAACAAAATGATAAAAGTAACATAGAATAGACAACAATCCCCAAAAGAGCTTTAATTCTACCAAGAAACATTAGTCTTGGATAGGTTCAGTGCATGTGGCTTGGTTATGTCCTTCAGTGTGACACCTTGAGCATTTAACTGGACGTCTATTCTTATATTGGTGGCTGATACGTCTATTCTTACTTCTTCCATGTCTCTTTATTATCTTGGGGGAAGTATGTCAACTATTTTATCCGTGATCTGACTTATTATAATTTGAATTAGGAAAGAGGGTTCATAACTTTTCTTGAAAGTTTCAGTCGTCATGAACCAATCGCAATGTGAGTACACATCTCTATACATGAAGTTAATGGCAACACATACACATGTTTATTGGTACACATCATTAACTTTTACTGATTTTTGAGCTGATACCTCAAAGATTTCAGCAAATAGGAAGTGTTCTCCCCACAAAAATCCAACTGTTGAAAGATTCAACAACATTGAAGTGATATGATTATATATGTAAATAAATATCATATGTATCAAATAGAAATTCATTATCACAAAGTATAGCAATGTGTCACATGCAACCGAGAAATGTCACAAGGAACAGCAATTTATCACATAATGTAGATAAAAGTCATAGTCAATAGAGTAATATCACATCCCACTAGTAAATGTCACACATAACAGACAACGGTCGCATATAAAAGCATAATGTCACATGTAAAGAGCAATAACCTACATCCCTTGAGAAACCCTTTTATGCATGCATTATAGGACACAAATAAACGCGTGAATCACCTTTCTTCTTGTTCAATGATAACGACACTACCTGGGTTTGTTGCTATCACCTATTTTTGGTACCTTTAATTGATGATTAAAAGTACAAATAACTTATTAAATGATGAATGTCACATGTAAGATGTAAGATGTGAATGTCACATATAAGGTCTAAAGGACACATTTAAGACCAAAATATCACATATGATATCATACTGTCACATTTAAGGTCGAATGCTCGCATATAAAACCTAAATGTCACATATGATGTTTAAACATCACATATTATACTTATACGTCACATAGCATTGTGAAATGTTACATTTAAGGTTAATGGATCACATTTAAGGTTAACAAATTAATAGACTAACCAGGGTAGTGAACCATATGAATGTCTTGCCCAACCAAATATTTAGTCTTTTGTTGTCTCTTTAGCAAGCCAAGCTTTAGAATAACTGACTTTTAAACCATATTGAGAGTGAAATTCCTTTCTAATGTTAGTTGGGGTGATAGATGAAAGGATCTTCATAATTGATTGTAGCACTCGCAATTCACCTTCTCGATGCTCAAGAATGACCAGCTATACCGTTATATTGTCCACAAGTATATTGAAAAACTAATTTTTTATAGCAAAGGCTAACACATGTCTCAATGGTGGAGTGTAAAGCCCCCACGGGCATTTTGTTTCTTTTCTAGAACATATAATTAGCACGAATGTGTTTTGGCTTATTGTTAACATATTTAAAGAGAACTTATTAGCTATAGAGTAGTATATAAGAGTCATTCTAACTTTTTTTACACTTTTAAATTGCTGCCCTTTTTCAGTAATTGTCTCGTACTACCATACCGGGATTCCTGTCGAGTTACTTACTATGTCATCCATTATCATACATACTCTCCTTGAGGATTGTCATTTGGGATCCTCTCTGATTCTTGGATATGCTCTGATGATTGTGTGTTACAGTAAGAAGATTGCAAGTAAAATATAACATACATATAAGTCACATGTGGCAATTACAAATAACTGTTAACTTGTATATGTTACAAATAAAGTCAATATGTCACGTGTAATATCTATAGGTCACATATAAGACGTAAACCTCACAGTTCTCATTATAATATGTATACAGAATTTGAAAAGAATCTTTTGAATACTTACTTAAACTCTGTTTATGTTCTTGTTTCAGTCCCTATGGCATGTGTGGATTCTTCATCTCTTTCCGGAATAGTCATGGTTATCGTATTTAACCCCCATTGAATAATGATAATCTATCATGTTGAGAATATCTTCATCTTTTAGAAGCTTAAACGAGGCATTGGGAAACTTCTCAAGAGAGTGACTTATCAATAAACTTTCATACCGTACTTTTAAATTCTCTATAGCATGCATCTTCAATTCAGTTAAACTTATTGCAGAATTGACTTTAGTGAGAGTTGCATTGGTGTTTAGTGAAATCACACATATTAAAGATTCTTTCCTTTTGGTTGTTAGAGAAGTTAAGAGGAAAGAGTTAAGAGCATTTTGGTTATTGAAGGTTGTTGAAGATTGTTGCGTAGAATCTAAAGATGAAAGAAAATATTATCTTGATATGGGACATTATTTGGAGGGAACTTAGTATGTTTCCCTCTAATTTTTCATTTCCCTCCAAAAAATCTCTCCCAGCCATTAATGTCATTCTTCTTTCTTCTCTTGAACCCATCACTATTTAGTGTACAATATAATGAGGGGCTACCTAATGTAGGGGTGTTAATGGAGCGGATACGGTTCGGATATGACACTTATCATATCCATATCCGCTTTCTAGATACGGATACGAATACATATTATCTTCGGTAAAAAAAATAGTAACCATATCCGCACTCATCGAAAACGGATACGGTTCAGATATTTGAGAATCAGATCGGATATGATCACAGATATAAAACGGATATTCGACAAATAGATATGAATTGAATATGAATTAATACAGCTATGTATAAATTACAGCCAAATGGGTAAATGTATGTGGTTGTAGGCTTCTCCTTACATAAATGTATGAAGTTGCAAATGATAAAAATATAATACAACAATCACATATACATGCAATATCATCGACAGAAGTAATGAATTTTTGAATCAAACCCAAAAATCAAAACCTAAAATCAAAACAAAGAAGAAGATGGAGATCTCCTTTATCAACCTTTGTAATATTCTTCTCCCTCCACTTCCTCATTTCCAATGACCTCCTCCTCTAAAACAGAGAGAAAAGCAGCAAATTTTTTTCCATGGTGCTTTTTGTTTACACTAAAACCTTCAAGTACAACATCCTACATCATTCAAATAATTACAAAAAGAATCAGCAAAAACAATTACATATAATTGAACAAAAGTGTAGGCTTAAGATGTTATTAAAGAGAGGGAGAGAATGAATGGAGAGGCTTACTGGAGAATTGGTCTGAATTTGATCGAATCGAAGGATCTTCTACCAAACGTTCTCCCTTTAAAAGAGGGGGTACTAGAAAAACTTTCATTTCCCAAAAATACCCTTCATCTTTTATAAAATTAACCAATTTACTCTATTATCATAACTCCCAATCTTATTAAATCACATTAATTAAAGGATTATACTATAGTATAACTATTCTTTAGATTATTAAATAATTAAATCAATTGTTATAATAGTATTAGATTTTCAAGTGTATGATGTTTTAATATATTGTGAGAATTAATATTTATGTAATAATGCAAATCCAATTACATTATAATATTATAAAATTATATTAAACATTATATTTGTAATCAAATATATATAAAAGAGCTAGAAATAGAATTTAGAAAACTTCTCAATAGATCAAGAGATTGAGGGAGGATGGTTAGATGCTCAAACACCAATAGTTAATACATGCAAGCTATTGTGAAATTGATTTCCCAAAATCAAACTCTCAAATACTTAAAAACTTTTTAAACACACTTAAATAAAAACATAAACCCTTGATGAAACTCTTTTAAACTTGGTTTAAAACCCTCTCTTAGTTACCTAAAATAGTTATGAAAAAGGGGTATATATAGGCTTGAAGAAAACAACTCAAAAACCCATTAAAAAATAAAAAACAGATATTACCGTTACCGTGCAATGGTCGACTACTACAGTAATAGCGGTCGATCATACTGTAGCGTAGTCGACCGTACTGTTCACTGACAGTTTCTATTTTTGACAGATTCAGGAATTTTGCATATCTGACTTTATAAAATCAATTACAAATAGTAAATCAACTTCAAAAATCATAATATTTTGAGAGAAGTTTCTAGACATGTAGATAAAGATGTTAGAAAAAGAATTTCTGAAATATCACTTCTCAGTTGAGAGAAATAATTATTTGAATATAGATATACAGTTTCTAAAAAAACTGCTGAAAACATGTTTATGTAAATTCAATTGAAAAGAACAAAACAACTCCAAAATTAGTAAAATTTGGGAAAATGTTTGTATATATGATAATAAACATGTAAACAAAGAAATTTTTCAAATTGCAATTTCCAATTGTGAAAACGCATCTATTTTGCAAAAACATGCACGAACATGAGTTTATTTAAAACTTTATTTTATAAATTCAAATAAACATAACAAATTAATTCTAAAATTAAAAAATCTTTGGGAAATATTTATAAACATGAAATTTAACATATTATAAAAAGAATTTCTCAAATTGAATTTCTCATTTATGAAAACTCATGTATTTTACAAGTGTGTCCAAAATATGAAAATGTGATATACATGAAATTTAATATTTTGACATAAACAATGTTTTGAAACCCTATGAAATGATTTTATAGACTTAATGAAATATGTATATAAAGATTGTTAAGTCTATAAACCAAAACTTGTGTGTGTGTGTGTGTGTGTGTGTGTGTGTGTGTGTGTGTGAATTCATTGTCGTTTGACCCTCCATCGAGCCATGTGAAAAGTTCTATTCATTCAAAACCGTTAAAATTGATACGAGTGGATGAAGGGTCAAACGACGACGGGTTCACCCCAAACTTGATGTGTTGGGGTTTTAGAATATGTAGATCAAGTTCAACGGAGCGGATCATCCACAATGTCGCTCAATCATGTGATTT